CCCCAAAACCCCAAAACCCCAAAACCCCAAAACCCCATTTAAAGTTTGTTGGGTTGAAAAATTCAATATTTTTATTATGAAAAACTTATCACTCCATAAAAGGTTAAGCAGAAAAAACAAAAACAGAGATCTTTTAAAGCTGAGAAGCCCTCAAGCTAGGATCATTAGCCCTAGGCCTACCACCAAGAAATGTATCAGGATACAAGCTCTGGACTTCTCATCGATGAGTTTTAATGAAGCATCATTTGGAGATAATAGGTATGCAAAATATTATCAATTCAATTCCAATCAGGAATACTTCAATTTTATTCTGGCCCAATTAGAACTTTTAGTGGTCGTGCAAAAAATTCTCTTTGGCTTTTCTATCAATTCTCAAATGCTCTGACTCCTTGACTTATAATGTTTTAGCCCTGATCCCTTCCAAGCGTTTCAGAATGAGAGAATTTCTAGTGCTGCTACATTTGATAGTCCTCCCAAAAATAGAAGGAGGTATATGCCTAAATAAAGAGACTTTTGAGCCGACTTTGCCCTTCCTTTCTCCTACCAGTGAAAAATCAAAAAGATGGGAAAGAGTGACTAAAGTAATAGAGAAAGAATTCTCCGACCAGCAAGAAAAAGTCAGGATGGGTTTTAGGCAATTCAAAAAATATAAAAGAGTGGAGAAGAGGAACCTCCCGTTTATAAATACCAAGTATTATATCGGGATCAGCACCCTAGTTGAATAAGCCACCTGAAAACGCCATTGACACCATAAATGGGGTAGAAGATAACTTTTTATTTCTAAGATTCATGACTAGTTTATCTATCTTCTTCATAATTTATCCAAGTGCCAGCTGGGCTTACTATAATTTTTCAGCCAGTTAAAACTGGCTGAGCTTAGAGCAGTTATGAGAAGTAACCGTAAACCATTTTTTGAATTTAAGTATTTTTACAAATATTTAACTAAAGAGATTATTTCGATCAAGGTTAGAGAAAAAGGGGTTTTGGGGTTTTGGGGTTTTGGGGTTTTGGGGTTTTGGGGTTTTGGGG